TAAACTACATCCGACAGCAAAGTCTCTGATCAGGAGGTTTTGAGGAGCGCAGAACCACCTCTTAATTGCTGGTGTTCCCAGGTCTGCCCTGACCTGGGGGTGGTAGCATCTGTTAGGGTCCCAGCTATGGGAAAATAGTTAACCCCTAAACTGGGGACAAAACACTATGAAAGTGTAAAAATAGTTTTTAATACCAGAAATACTTTTTTTTTTGTAAAAAAATTATTTCCAGCAATACATTCTTCGAAAAAATATTACCAGCAATAAAAATCTTATCGGCATTAAATAACCCATTGAGGTTGATATGCTGTAAAACAAACCAAACCAAAACATCTAGTACCATTACAGAGTCATCAACAGTTTGTAAAACACTGTAGTGACACAAACTTGGTCATCAAAAAAAAAAAAGAAGTTTGAAACATGTCTTGAACAGGTAACCCAGCACAAGTCAATAATGGTGTTCTCTAATGTACCAGGGTGATAATAATGACACCCTTTGTTTGAATACCATGAAAGACATTGTGCAGTGTGTTGACTGATGGGTTGAGCAACATCAACATAGAATTGAGATTCCATTTAGTAGGTGGTTAACATGTTTTTCAATCTACAGATGTTGTCTTTTTGCATCCCAGGAATTACCATATTTTCTGACTTACAAGACACACTTTTTTCCCTAAAAAATACATGTGCGGTTTCCAAGACGAACGTAAGGCAACACCCAGGCTCAAGTAAGCTTGACTGATAGGGACATGGATTTGTATGACGAGTAATTACACTATAATGTTAACTAATTCAGCCTTTTACATGATGTAACCTAGGTACTTAGCTGTTACAAGTATTTCCAAGACTATAAACCTTCCTGAAACCAAGCCACAAATGTAAACATGCTCTGTTTACTAGCAGGGGTGGGAGCCTTTCTGTTAGACTAGTATGTCAATGACATACAAATGAAATTGGACGAGTGATTAATGCAAACAATACGTGGGGCCAATATGTGAAGGACACATGGTGAATGTGTTGTATGAGAATGACTTTTTTCTTTTTCTTAGAAATTTCTTTCTAATATTAGGGTCTTCCAAGCTGCAGCGTCTTGTAAGCCAGAAAATACAGTATTACAAGATTAATTTAGGACACTTGGTTAGGTATTTTGGAATGATACAATATTCTTCAATTAAAACTCTATTATGTTTGTTTTAAAAGCTATTAATTTATTAAAATAATAACATTAACACACTATTTACATTGTTCGAACTGTTGCCCTCATCTTGGTTGGCATATTCACAAGGTTTTGGATGGTGTACACTCCGGCTGTCTTCCAGTGATTGGAATTTCAAACCAATTTCGTCCACTGGGGTAAATTTTTCAAATTCCACATGCCATGCCTCTTCCAAATATCTCAGTTACATTCATTTCCTTTTAGTAACTCAACTCTCCAAGTTTTTGTTCACCTCTGCTGTGGCGAGGTATTTTAGACTCACAATTCTTTGGGTCAAGTCACTGGATCATTCCAACCAATGCTTTTATCCACTGGGCCATATATCTATTCCCATTGGATGAAATAAAGAGTTCAGTTTGAAATTCCAATCACATTAAGAAGGCCAGAGTGTACAATGGCCATCGCATTAAGAAGGCCAGAGTGTACAATGGCCGAAACATCGTGAAGAAGACAACAATCCAAACAAAGCAAATAGTGTAAATAGTTACAATACCTCATCTCAGAAATAGACAAACATTAATACAGTCTCATAACTGAGCTGATAATCTTTCGGGGGGGTGCTTGGGCTCAAAATTACAAATGTCCAAATTAAATTGAACTTCATATCTTGCTGTATTAAAGTTTTGGTCAGTTAAACATTCAAAACTTGAATTTTCATTACAACCGGTACTGTTTGCAAAATTTCAGAATAGCAGCTGAAAAGTTAAATCACAGTTTAAAGATTCAATGGATCAAAATATTTCCAAAATATTCTAATGGTGTCATGTTCTCTAACACTTGGTAGACCCTTGCATTTTAGTGACTTTATTGCCTTATTGTGGTGAAATGAATGATTAAAAAAAAAATGATTTTGATTTTCAAGACGGTTTAAAATTTTGGAAGGAAAAGTAAAATTATCTTTTGGGACCATTCCATGACAATGGTAAACAGTGTTAGTTTAGTGCCTGTCTCCAGAGAGAGAGAGAGAGAGAGAGCCTCATCTTTCTAATCCCAACAAACATTCCACAGTCAAATGGGTGTTACTGTTAAGTCTATGTTTCATGGTTGTCACAAATACAGTACTTCTTTACCTATCATGTCACACATATCAACCAGCTGGGTTCATTTCTACAAATGGGAGAAGGCAAAAAATAATTTTTTTGCATTTATACTTATTTTTTTATGGGTTACATTTTCTGATTCTTGTAAACTAAATTGAAAATACAAGGGAGAATTTAAAAATAATAAACAATTTAATGAGAAATGAAAATTAAACATTTTATTTTTTTTAAGAAAATAACCACCTAAAATTAAATAACTTTTTGTAAAAAAAGATAAGCTATTTTTACAAAGAAATGTGCCTTTTACAGCATATCGAAAAGTTTGAAAAGACCATTGCAAAAGAGGTTTTTCGCAAAAAAAAAAATTAAACCTGAGTGATACTTATGGGCTTCCATAGATACTAAAACGCTCTGATCAAAGATTATACCGGCGAATTATTTCAACGTTGTTACACTGTAACAGTGTTTCTCGTGAACACAAATGAATATGAAATATTAGAGATTAGTCGTTTAAAAACTCTAAAAAGAATTATTTTTAAAATTTAAAATAAAAAGGATTAATAAAACAGAAAAAGTACAAAATTTAAAAAAAAAAAAAAAAAAGTTTTTTTTTTTTTTTAATTTCATTTACTGGAAATTTAAATTAAATAAAATTAAATGGATTTATTTTTTTTTTATTTAATATTTTGCAAAAAAAACAAAATTAATTTTATAATCTCCAGAAACGATCGTCTAAGACGTAAGTAATAAAAAAAAAAAAAATTGAGACACCGGTATATAATCAGATTCAAATTTTTTTATTTAAATGGATAATTTTCCAAATTTTCTTAAATCATACAAAGTAAAGAGATCTTTTAAGAAACAAATTTAATATCTTATCCAATAATAAAATTTTCGTTGACTTCTTTCTCAAAAATCTGAGACGAAAAAAAGCGATTAAATTTTCAAACATGATTCCCATTGTAAACAACATTTTCAAACAAATATTTCCAGTTCTTTAAATCGAAAGCAAACAATTTTCATAGCAGAATTTTCTCCAATTTTTAATCTTTCAAATGACATAAATTTTATACAAATTGATTTTCTTTAATTTATACGATGTTTATCTTTTTTCAGTGGGTGTCATATCGCGCCATTTTTTTTTCATTGTAAGAATTAAAAAAAAAATACTTTTTAAAAGTTTCTTTATATCATTTACCAATTAATTCATATTTTGGGCAACTATATCAACAGAATTTTTGACTTGAGATAATCCCCCCCACAAGGCTTTTGTGAAACACACGTCATCGTTTTAATAATTCAAAATTTAAATAATTGAACCAAAAATTAAACTAGAAAAATAACTTCTCCAATTAAAAAGTTTTTTTTTTTAAATTAATTCGGTAAAAAAGACAATATTATTAATAGTGTGAAACCAATCGATTAATGATAATCGATAATAATTTGGTTTGGAAATCAGTAATTCTTTATTTTGGGACAATTACAAAATTACAAACAATACAATGCAATACATTTTTTTGCACGTTTCACATAAAACTTTTTTTTGTAAATTGTTTGCTACAATGAAATATTATCATTGTGAAACTATTTCGTAATGTTCATTTAAGATTAGTCTAGTGAATTTAAAATAAATAATTATTTAAAAGACTAAGCCACGAGGCCGACGATAAAATACTGCCAATTAGAGATTAGTGGACAGTGAGAAAGGAATTAAATGTCAATTAAAATATCACATCAAAATTTGTAAAAACTTCTTACTAAATAAAATCCTTCCATTTAATTAAATTTCACTACAGCAAAAAAAAAAAAAAAAATATGCATCATAGCATATGTTTGACTTTGATAAACGTTATATCCAAAGAGGTGCTGAAAAGTCCCTGACTCTGTCTACCGGGACCCGCTTTCAACAAATAGCTAACCAAAAATAGAATTTGGATGGGCAAAGAACTTTTCAGCACACCCTTATTTAATTTAATGTAATTTATTGCCCTCCTTAATTCAAGAAATTACGATAGTTTAATTTATTGCCACTTTCATTCTCAAAAATCGCATTTTCCATATTATACAGTTCTTTTTTGTCTTTCATTCCGAACTGAAAGAGCTGAACCCAAGACGTCACGAAACGCGTCGTTTATATAAGCTTTTCTTTTTTTCTTTGTGTCTCATCAACATTTTTGTTTCGCATCTTACAAATACACATATACATATGTATGTGGTGTGTACACAAAAAATTTTTAGATAACCATTCTTTTTAGTAAAGTTAGTTTCAGAAATGTCTACTCAAACACGTGTACCCACTAAAAAAACGTATATACGTTTACGGTTATATATAGAAATTTAATAAAGCGATTAAGTTCGTTTTTTGTCTCAATCAATTAAAATAAATTTAAAATATTCCTAAATTTACAAAGTAAAAAAAAAAAACAAAAACAAATATTTCTATATTCGATAATTACAAAAAAAAAGTAATGAAGCCACTTTTTTTTCGGTATTTCTAAGCCGGTTGTCTATCTTTTAGTAACTTTATTCAAATAAAATCAGACAAAAGACGCCTTTTTCGACTAGATTTATTGCAAATTTAGAAACTAAATAATGAACTATCGATTTATTTAGCTTATTGACAATTCAACCCGCCAAATTGCTTTCTACCACATGTCCAACTTAAACAACGTGGAGGGAAAGCGTGTTGTTCATCACGATTTTCAACAATTATAAAAATTATTTAACGCTGGATAAATACCTACCTCGGCTTCGATTTCGGCTATTTTCTCTAGAATACCCAT